TGAAGCCATTATTCATATGACAAGTGTGGGGTATATAGAGTTAATGCAGTATTCTTTCTTTCTGCACCCAGACCAACGTGCACGTGTGCTAGCCGTGATATTGACGTGAGCTGTGCATGCAGACATTATAGAAGAACCTCTGTGGCTTTCCCCAATTCACTCATACTTTTGGAGTCCTTACTTGTCTCCAATGAACTGCATCTTTACAGATTTCGCTCCTTTCCCCCATGTGTAGCACTTAATCTTCAAGCAGCACTTAAATGGCTATTCCATAATTATTTAGGCTAGATTAAGCTACATCATAGTAATATACACGTCCATTCACTTGCCCAAAGAACCTACTATTCAACTCTTGGTTACTTGAAGTTCTGGAGAGATGGAGAATTTTTTTCAAGCAGCACCTTAAATATGCTTCTGGTTTAAAGCACTATTACATTGCTGGCATAAGCATTGCATACCTTTTTAAATTTACATGCTGGTAGTGTTAAAAGGTGGCTTTTAAAGACTGTGAGTACTAAAAGCTACTCGTACGTCACGGTAGTTTTGAAACTGGAAGATGACTGGTAGACTAGCTTCCATGAATCCCACATGGGTAGAGTTGAAGGAAGTTCACACACTGGACATTTTTGGTTCTTTGTGACTGGTCTTTTTTTATAGGTTTGAATGGGGATTCTGTTGAGATGTAAGATACCGAAAAACACATTTATAGATGTTCCATCTGCAAAATTAACATGAAAAGAAATGTGAGGGAATGGTAGCTGATGATTGGTTGAAGGCTGTTGAGAATGTTGGATGGACAGAAAGGTCTAGAGCAGGAATTATTTGCCCATGTATCCGGGTACAGAGTATTTGAGTTTCAATGCTTTGTGCATTAGGTTTAGAAAATGCTTGAATCTCGGATTTTGATGGAAGGGTTTGTTGATATGAAAGCGGTGGTAGAATCATACGAGATGGAGAGATTAGACGAAGCTCTGAAGATGATTTAATACATAAGGAGTAAACATATCTAAATGGCTTTCTCCTTGAGAACAAAAGTCCAGCAAAGATTCAATATGATAAATTTTGTAATACTACATAATGATGACCATTGGGCAGATGGATAACTGGCTTCTGTCTTCTGGGAAATATGTGAGGAAATAGGACGACCAGACCAGGTGAAAATAAAAATTCACAGGGCCCACTTAAGCAAGGACCACCATTTGGCTCAGAGGACCAGTTTTAAGGAAGGAAACAAATATTCCAAAATATCAACATTATTTTCTTATTTCATGTTTTTTATCTTCATTGGGATCTACGATGTAGGGCTGAATGTAGCTGTCCTAATTTATTTGAATAAAGGCGTAAGTTAAGGTTCCATCCAGAAATAATTCACCTGATTAAGCACAATAACTGTCTAACTATGATTGTTCCTTGTACTTATAATCAGACAATAATCAGAGATCGTGCATGATAAAGCTTTGTGTGTCGATTTCGCTACATGCTTTATACAGAACTAGGAGAATCTCATCTATCATAGATTTAGAAATACCTGTGAATATATAAATGTTTGAAGAACACGTTGTTTTCATGGTAAGCCAAGCAGGGCAGTTTGCTATAATGGAATGTGCTTGACTAGGTGTTAAAATTCCTTTGTGGGTTAAATCTTGCTTCACCAGTTTGAGAGCAAAATAGAATGGATCATGTACTCAGTGTGTAATGAATAGTTTAGGAAGGTGGTGTATCCGATTACTGAAATATTATTTTGAGCATATTACACTTTAATTTGTCAATTAAGTATTATTCCAATCTAAGGATAAGGTAACATGGACTCTGTAACTTGTCCTGGAAGAGGCCAGTACTGGTGGTGTGTATGCTGTAGGGAGGCCATTGCATTCTGTATATATTCTGAGAATATGGGGGGGGGGGGGATTTTGGCTGACCCTACAGGGTGGATTGGTGGGTGAATGAACATTACGCTGCGGTCCTTGATGTATTCTATGTATAAATGAAAGGACCAACAGATATTAAGACTGTTACGGCTCTCCATTTAGTGACTTTGCAGATGAATGAGTGATAAAACAATAAGAATCTGGCTGCCGAGGCATATCTATTTTAACAATGACATGAAGAGCGATCTAGATAAGCAAAAGGTGTTGTCTTCATCATTAGGCTGAGCTGACTTGTATCCCCAATACGCAAATTAAGTTTTCATTATAGCAGGCCATTTATTTCTGGTTTCAAAGGTAATGTCCAAAAGCAACCATGATATAATCTTTAACTTTAATCTGTATTGATACATTATTTTCACTAGTAAATGGTCCAGTTTCTGTCTGTAGGTAACAACCTTGATCGTTTGATTTTCTGTAAAAAAAAAAAAAACATTGTTGACAAAATCGGTGAAGCTCGGTGGTATGATATGTGGTTCATGGTGTGTAAATGCGTTCTGCGGAAAAGAAAAAAAATGATTCCTACATTGAGAATGTCAGCTATTGAATGGCAGATTTAACTGTGCGCATGTTCCCATATTGCACTGAATGTGTCAATTCACTGAACACAGCATTGTTCCAAGTTTTCTCCTCAATGAATAGCTTGGGGCTTAGTAAACAGAGCGTGTAGCTGTACCATAAAGCAGGCCCAAGTACATTGAATAGCTGAAAATGAACCAGGCTGTGATGTAAATTTGATGATGTGCAGATCTCTCTGAATAAACGGGCCAGAGGAGATGGCAGTCTGCTTTCTACTGATGTGTGCAAAGTTGATGCAACTCCAGAATATCTCACTGTAGGAGGTAGCGTATACCAATCATGGAATAGTACAATGTGTGCTAAGCCCCTTATAACTATATCTCATGTATATCGAGAACTGCTTGCCTGGTATTTAATAGGATAGTTAAAGTATCTTTAGGATTATATAAACTTTATATTAATTGCAGCATTTGGTTCCTTTTTTTTTTTTTTTTTAAATAAGAATCTGAGCCCTTTATGCATGCACAGTATTCAGCTAACCATTTTTGGAACTTCTGAGAGACCGAATATTTTATTAAAGAAAGAAATCCTTGCAAAAACAAGGATGCATGTGGGGGTCAAACTGATTTTATAGACTATACAGAAGCAGGCTTGCACTAGTTTGCAGAGTCACCACTGAGAGGCTTATTGCTATGAAGGAACCTTCTAAAATCATGCGCAGTACAGGGCAGCCCTAGAAGCATTAGGAGAGAAAGTAACAGAGTATCTTTGATAGTGTAACTGCATCAAAGTCTAAATTGGAAATATGTTGAAACCTGTATTTTAATTGGCTACATTAGCAAAATAAAAAACAGCAGCCCACCGAATACATCCTAAAAGTGGGTCTTTTAGAGGTATATATTTAATAAAACTGCAATTTAGATAACCTTCCCTCATTTTATATGTTTTTTTTTAATTTTATTTTTCAGACCAGGCCATTGGAATTTGGTATTAAGGAAATTTAACCCAAAGGTCAGAATTTGTAATTGTTGCTGGAATTAAAGTCAAGTTTTTATATTCAGGCCAACAAGTTAACCGCTTTTCAAAAATGAATGCTATTCCGTAGTTAATCCACCATCCTACAGCCCCTGTGTTGCACCTATTTCATCCTGCCTTTAGCATTTGCACAAAAGCTCTCTCCCAAATTTAACCGTATTGCTACTTAGGATTTGCCATCTCAAAGCTCCGGACTGTGAAGGGGTTGAACTTCGAGAACCCCCGGCCTATGTACATCCGCTCTTGCCGAAAGTAAACCTTGTCTATTATGTCCGCTCCTGTTCTTTCGGTGTATTTTGCCATATATGTATATTTATTGGTTTGTTTATTTATTATGCATATTAATAATAAAAAGGTGCTGACTAGAAGTGGTGTCACGTGGCTTTTTACAGGATAGCAGGGAATGTGTTACACAGGAGTATGGGGGCTTTGCAGGCTGTAAATAAGATAACGGAGTTAATGTGGATAGGTGTAAGGCTATACTAACTATAAGATAAGGCCAGGGACTAATGAAAGTATTTAGAAAATTGGGCAGACTAGATGGGCCGAATGGTTCTTATCTGCCATCACATTCTATGTTTCTGCCTGAACAAGTGGTTTTATCAGAGTCTGTAGATGTTTAAACAGCAACTAGATGTAGACTTGCAAAAACGTTATATTCAAGGATATCATTTTTAAATTGTGGGGGTAATAGCTTCATGATCCAAGGATAAATCTGACTGCTATTCTGGGATCAAGAAGGAATTTGTTCCTAGTTTGTTGCGAAATTGGAAGTGCTAATGTGAGAAAGATGCGAGGAAGGCTGAACTTTCTGGATGCATGTCCCTTTAAGCCTATGTAACTATGTAAAGGACAAGCCATAAGACATTTAAATGCACAGGCACAAAATATACATAACTAGTTATGTTTATTCTAGTGTACTTTGGCATTCATGGTTATGTTTATTCCACTGGGCATGCCCAAAAACACGTTTGAAGGAATTAAATGCAGAAATCATCACCCAGTGGTAGACCCTGAGTGACTGCCACTGGAGGTGTCCCTAGGAAGCAGTGTAAACACTGCCTTTTCTCTGAAAAAGCAGTATTTCCAAAAAAACGCCTGCAGGGACATGGTATACACACCAGGACCACTACACTAAGCTGTAGTTGTTCTGGTGACTATACTGTTCCTTTAATGTGTTGAATCATAGACAGATGTCTACCAGTGGTAGCGGCTTGTGGCAGGGGCACCTGGTAGTGCAAAGGCAAAAAAAAATTAATTTGCCGAAATGGAAACCCAAAGTACTACATAGTACTGAGCGATTGCTCTTACCGGCAGAAATTCTGAGTCTGCCCCCAGTCTTACAATTTAAAAATAGGGAGCCCTAGGTATCTCTCGATGTACCATGTATGTGGTAGAATGAACGCATGGTAATAAGGCGAATAAGGCCTGGGTCACAAATACATTGCATCTCAAAATAGCCCTAATCCTGAACAGGTTAAAGGGTAAAAACTACATTAATGACATTAACCTGGTAATAAAGCACTTTCCAAAACAAGGATTTTCCGATCAGAAACATATTGTACACAGCCACCTAGTGTTCAGATCATGGAAATACAACCTAAATATGTAACATAAAGCGAGCACACATTTATTGCAAACCAAAGATTTGATTTTATAAATTTTGCTTTTGATAAATTTTAATTCAAGTATTTCCCTGTTATAAAGCTTTGGCACACAAATGATTACAGAGGTGCAAGTAAAGTGTGGTAACCTTTGCATAATAATGGTACTTAGCTTATGAGACACAATAGCTCTGGAGTCACTGTCTTTATTCACACCTGAATTACTTATCGTGGTAGGGTCAGCGGAGCTAATCATCTTTCCCATGTCAATAAAACAAACACCATTGAGTTGGGTAACAACAACATCCAAACAAGAGGACATGTTGTAAAACTGAATCTGTTTTTCCTGGATAAATATATTTTACATTATTATTAGTACTATATCTTGAAGTCTCCATTAATTTTATGGTAGGTAGGGCTGGGCAGTTCGAGGCTGATTGCATAAGGCTGATATGCATTGTGGTGTAAGAGGTTAAAGGTTATAGTTAATTCTGGATTAACATTGATATGGTAGCCAGCCATAATCTTAAGGTCCTAGAAAAAACTGAATTAGCTAGTCATTTGGTTTAGTTATGCTGACAAAGGTGCAGGGAGGATAAACTTTACGTCTAAATCTAAATTAACTGCTGATAATTATTTTAAAGCCTAAAGGGACACTCCAGGCACCCAGACCGCTTCTGCCCATTGAAGTGGTCTGGGTGCCAACTCCCACTACCCTTAACCCTGCAAGTGTAATTATTGCAGTTTTCATAAACTGCAATAATTACCTTGCAGGGTTAAGTCCTCCTCTAAAGGGTGTCTACTAGTTTTTCTGGCACTGGAGAGTCCCTTTAACTTTCAAAGTTTGGCACGACAGTGCTTATTTTTGATTGGCCCAATGCATTATGTTGGTGATGCAATTTCTGTCAACCAAAGTGCTTCCACTCTGGCGATGCTGACTTTCATTGACAGACCTCCAAATATCAGTAGGTATGTTAAAATAGTGTGCAGTACAACAATTTATAGACGAAGGGAAGTACATGTAAAAAAAAAATGTTTGGGAAGGTCATCCTTATTTTAGTATATGACAGGATCCTTCAGCCATATACACACCTTGGGTCAGACAGTGTTTGACAACCAACAGTTATTCTCTATTATTATTATTATTTTATTATTTATATAGCGCCAACAAATTCCGTAGCGCTGTACAATGGAGATCTATGATCTCCCTGCTTCTGTCCAAGTAGTTAATCAGGAAAGATCAGTGAGACAAATTGTCAATTCTACTAAATATTAAAAGGTAGGTATGTTTTTCTCTTTTTTATATACATATAAAGCATTTAAAAAAAAAATCTAATTTCAAAACTTGATGAAATGATTATTATTATTATATTAAAAAAATATTATTGTTGTCCGTTAAAGACATAAACGTTTGCCTATTTCTGTTATTGTTGTAGGAAAACTGTTGTCTGCTTTTAGTTTATTAGAATCTGTGGCTTTTCTGACCATGATTTGAATTCAAGCTCTATTCTGATTGTGTAAGGCACAAGAACCACATTCTAAAACAGATTGAACACATAATTCAAGGTGTCAGCCTTACAGCCAGCCCCAATCTTAACTCTTTGTATTCCAGACACAGAGGAGCAGAGAATTGCGTTTTGTTTAAAGAGGGTTTTTTTTTTTTTTGCACGCAGGTAAGGATGAAAGAAAAAAATGCAAAGAACTGGGATTTGGAACCCCAATTAATTAACTTGAAAGAAGTCAATCAGTGAGTAAGTCACTGAAAAAAAAAGTGCTAAAAAAACCAACAAAAAAAACAACAGTATTAATGCCCAGTTAGTCTTCAGGAAGTGTCGGATGTTAATCTGACTATTTTTCAACAATGGACTGCCTGGAGGTTGTTTTGGGATTTTAGTCTGCGATTTGTTTCTGCATAGTATTCTGCCCCAGAGCATTGTGGGTAAGGTCCCCAAAGGTGTGTCCATACTGGAACTTGTAACCTAAAGAAGAAACACAAGAATAGAGCTTGTTATTAATATGAACACTAATACAAAAAGATAAGTCCTGCGCTCACTCCCATCACTACTGGGCCGGCAGCAATGACTACAGTACACATCAGCCCCAATATATAGTAAAAACCAAAGAAAAGAAAAAAAGTTACCTGTGCGTCCCCTTAATCCCTATGTATATTTAGACCAAAGGAGGTCATTTAGTTGCTCCAATGGCCATTGGAGGGAATGCCCACCTGCCAACGTCAAGGCAGACCCTCCTAAAGCAGGTCCTAAACTGACCTCCATTTGTCTAAATATACATAGGGATTAAGGAGAGAGCGCAGGTAACTTTTTCTTTTCTTATTAATATATATATTCTTATATAATCTAACACTGTTGATTAGACTACATACAGTGGCAGAACTATCGCGGTCGCAGCTGCGACCGGGCCCTTAACTCCAGGGGGCCACCTGGCCGCCCTGCGGACCACTGGGACCACGGGTCCCGCCAGCTAAGTAATGTGGCCAAGGCCAACACTGTGAAACCGCCACGGCCGCATTGAAGGGGCCCATCTGGTGGCCCATGCTTTGTATTTCCAGGGGGGTCTATGTATGTGTGTGTCTCTGTATATGTGTGTGTGTATCTGTTTGCATGTGTGGGGGAGAGGGGAACGTATGGGAGGGGGACAGTCAGGGCCGGTACAAGGATTTTTGCCGCCCTAGGCAAAAGTTAAGTTTGCCTACCCCCACCCCCCACCCCATGTGACATCACAATGCCCCACCCATATGATCTGCCATGTTAACTAATGCCAGTGCTGCAGTGCTGCCGTGTTTACATTAAAAGGCCTGGCTATAGACACCAGAACCACTACATTAAGCTGCAGTGGTTCTGGGGACTATAGTGTCCCTATAATGTGAGGTAAATTAGAGATTGGTGTCCCTAATAATACACTAGATTGCCTACTTATAACCAGATGAGGATGATGATGGGCTCTGGCTGCAGTCTGGCTACACTGGTTTGGTGTAGAACAGGATCTCTGGAGGATGTTTGTAAATGTGGTCACAAAAATCAATGTTCTGGGAGAACGGGAAGCAGCTCCATTTTTTGGGGGCCATTTACACAGCTCAAGGTCTGGGTCCCAGGGTCCACCTTCATGTTCCACCAATGAGTTTGTTCACAGGGGGTGCAGTGTGTAGGGGATGTCCTGATATGTGTGTAAGGAATGCATTGTGTGAATCTGTGTTTGTATGTGTAAGGGCTGCAAGGTGTGTTTCTGTGTATGTACGGGATGCAGTGTGTGTGTCTGTAAGGGGTGCATTGAGTGTGTGTAAGGAATGCATTGTGTGTTTCTGTGTGTGTAAGGGATGCATTGTGTGTAAGGGTTGCATTGCTTGTGTGTGTGATGGATGTCAATCTCTCCCCCCTCCCTTGTCCCTCTCATTACCCCCCACCCCTTCAATTTATTTTCTCCACCCCCACCTCTGTTGTAGCGTGGCCGAGCTCTGTATGGTCCACGGTTACAGGGAGCTTTTGTTTCCTGTACCCGGCCAGACTAAAAGGAAGTGCACACTCAGTGTTAGTCCGGCCGGGTACAGGAGACAGATGCTCCCTCTACCCGCGGACCATACAGAGCTCGGCCACGCTACAGTGAGGGAGTGACAGGAGGGAGCGCTGAGCGCTTCTCTCCTGTCAGCCCCTCTCCTCATGCTGCGCCCTCATGGTGGCTGCCTAGTCCGCCTAACAGGTAGCGCCAGTGTTCTATCAAATTTCCCTACCCGTGAAAATCCCCTACCCTCGTCACTTCCGGTGAGGAGAATCAGCTGGATCCTGTGCTGCACATGCGTGCTAGCACTCCTGCTAGTCCGCCACAACAAAGTCCTGGAAGGTAAGTAAAACTAGTTTTACACTTTCATTATAGTTAGTGCATTCACTAAGCTTAGGACATGGGACATTTAGGGTTAATGTTAGGCTTAGGATTAGGGACTTGTTCATATTTAGTGATATTTCACATTAGGGGAATATCACTAAATTGTGCTTTTTCACACTTTATTTTAACCCCTACTCCAAGGGTTAGGGTAAGAATAGAGTGTGAGAGAGGTTAGACTTACCTAACCCTAATTTGAACCCTCACTTAACCCTAAATGTCCCGTGTGCCTAAGCTTAGTGAATGCACTAACTATAATGAAAGTGTAAAACTAGTTTTACTTACCTTCCAGGACCTTGCTGTGGAGGAGTAGCAGGAGTGCTAGCACGCATGTGCAGCACAGGATCCAGCTGATTCCCCTCACCGGAAGTGACTAGGGTAGGGGATTTTCACGACGTAGGGGAATTTGATAGAACACCGGCCCTGGGGACAGTAGATGTATGGGGGAAGGGTGGCGGGGGGTAGACGTACGGGGGGCCCAAGGGCAATTTTTGCACCGGGGCCCCGTGGTTTCTAGTTACACCTCTGACTACATAGGAAAACCTCCGTGGAGAGAATGGAATCTTTATAACTTCGAGATGACAAACACTAGAAACACACAAAACTTTAGAGATTATTTAAAACCAGCCACACTCAACAATTTTTTACATTATTTGAAACAGAATGTCTACTAAGACTCTAATGGGGATTATTCAATAAACAGTGAGTTATGGTTTAATTATGTAATTCATGCATAACTGAGTCAGAAATCACCAAGTTAGAAACAAATTACAGTACCGGGTAAAATACAAATAAATGGGATACAGATCTTAACCTGGTACGTGTCCAGTATATCGGGGCAGCAAGCCCAGTTCCTCTAGGTAGATGTGGCTCTGGTTAGAGCGAAGGTTGTTCTTTTCTTTGGGTTCTTTGAGTTCACTCAGTCTCGTGTTCTCCTTTGAAATCATGTGCCCAAACTCCACAATGGCTTTGTTGGTGGAGATTGGATATCCGGTGCCAATGAGGAAACGCGAACGAGGGACATATCCCATGTAACCTTCAGAACAGTAGATAAGAGTATCAGAAGTAACTAACATTAAAATATGCTTAAACACGTATGTTTAAAAGACTTAGTCTTAGACGAAGCTTGCCTACTACTGATAATTTTGGAGGGTGACTGTTCATCTCTAAGGTAGTCTGTAACTCGCCCACTATCTAGGTGGCATAATCAAGGTGCTGTGATTTTAGTAGGCCATACAGAGCAAGAACTGACATAGGGCAGCTAGCATGATGGCGAGGCTGCAATCAATATCTAGAATAGGATAATATGTTGTGGAAAATAATTTAAGAGTGTTAACATGGCCTCCAAAGATCTAACATCAAGGGCATGCACTCCAGGTGTTGTGGACTACATTTCCCATAATGCTCTTAACAGCCTTAAGGAAGATGTACTCCACAATATCTAGAGTGCCGAAGCTTGCCTACCACTGATTATTTTGGAGGGTGACTGTTCATCTCAAAGGCAGCCTGTAACTTGCCTACTATCTAGGTGGCATAATCAAGGTGCTGTGAGTTTAGTAGGCCATGGGTTGCTGTAAATTGAAGAAATAGAACAGCAAAAGCATTTTCTACAAATCCAGCCATAAAGGGAATTAGGTAAAATGTGCTTTGATTTCTTATATACAGCATGCTGAGCATATCTGGACAACAATCATCTAAAGGTTTGGGATTAGGAATGAGTCCAGAAAAACAACAGGGGTTTAGATTTGTATCAGGGCCTCACTTTCTCGATCATAGCCCAGGTTGTCAGCTAGAACATGTGGGACAACCAAGTAATTAATGTACCATCTGTATCTTAAACCAGGTGGATATTGCTCACCGAGAACAGACTCAGATTCTCACCTGAAATGAAATACTTGTGGGGGTTTTCGTCTTCCATGTAGTAGGGAGAGATCTGTGACTCGAATGCAGCGGAAGAATGGAATTGAGCTGGTTCTTTACACAGAACTGGGAGTGGAGTCCTGTACTTGGATTTGAGGAGCTGAAAATATAGAAGAAATAGAGGATTGGATCACCTTTTCTAGAATCAAGTCTTGAGTGTGAGGTAGTTTACAGATTATTTTACATATACCCATACCACCTGACTGACACATTCACCGCTAGACGAGACTGAAACACTTGAAAAGAGTTTTGTAAAACCATCCACAGAGGGCACACTTCCCCTGGCTGTGACTCACCGAGTGTCCTCAAAAGAAGGTTTCATGTTTACAGCACAATGTGTATAAGTTATACTTTAGAAGTTTGTATCGCCTGCCTACATTTCATTAGGGTATACAGAAAGTCAGGATAGTTTTAAAACATACACAAACAACATACAGACAGCACACATCACACATTGCATTCAGCCAGCACACAACAAACACACACTACATACAAAAATAAGTCCCACGCTCAAACTCCCACTACTCCTGGGTGGCAGGAATGACTATAGTAATCATCAAATAAAAGAGTTACTTGTGCACTATCCCAAATCTCTCTGCACATTTAAATAACTATATGCACCAAAACCACTTCAGTTCCTTGAAGTGATCTGGGTGCAGTGTCCCAGGCCCCTTAACCTTTTTTAATAAACTGCAATAATTACCTGCCAGGGTTAACTCCACCGCTAGTGGCTGTATACAGGCACTAAAGGGACTACCGGGTCGTTAGGCGACTTTTGGTCGCCTAATGGACGCTGGATGTCCTCACGCTATGCGTGGGGACATGCAGCATCACTCTGTGGGGGAAGTCCAAATGCGAGAGCGACCATCGCCATGCATGCACATTAGATCTCCCCCACCGCTGGAATCAGGAAAGTTTTAGAAGGGTTTTTTAATCCCTTCTGCACCACTGGAGGGGGTTTTTATTTTCCTGGCACTATAGTTTCCCTTTAAGTTTAAGCTCACCTGCCACGTCAAGGTTAACAATTCACCTTGCTTATTTCAGCATTAGGTAACAGAAATCTCTCATGAGACAAAGAGGGGTATTTTTCCAAACCCCGACATACTTAATAACCCTTAATAGGGAGCACATGGGCAGCAGCCTTGTTTAATAATACAATGAAAAGTTGGCAAGGCTATGGGACCCCTATGCTCGCGGGGCCCCAGAGTAACTGTCCAGCATACCCATGTTTTAATATAGCCATGACTGTAGTGTGTGGTGGGAATAGAGGCTGAATGAAGAATGTTTGAGGCTGGTGGGTAATCACAGACAGAGTCACACTTGCTCACTTCAGGTGGCAGTGGGCCCCGACCAGCAACCTTCTCTTTTCAAGCTCACCTCTCTACATTAGCTCCGCTGTACTCTGGACAAACAAATCACTCCCCTGAAGTCCCACAGGAATGAATAGACAAGTCACATAACACAATGCTGTTCTAACTCGAGTCCCGGTTGTACCAATTACAGGGGGGGAGAACATGCGCAATGAAATTAGTAAAACTATATTAAAAAATGTACTTTGTTTATTTGACATGTATTAATGAATCTACTTTTTTTAAAAGGGTTCTGGCTAGATTAGGGCGCAACCTGCACACCCTGTGCGCACGCCTATCTTGCCTGCTCTGTTAATGAACTTTAATCACACTCAAGAGTCTGTTACAGGCTCTAGCCGGCTATTAACAGAGTTCAATTTAAAGATCAATATTTCAAAGCAGGAGATAAAAACTTCTAAAGTAAATTACCATCTGATTGTAAATGTAGCTAGGGCTGCAAGGACAGAAACAAAAGTGAATTGACTTCTAAATAGCCAACAAGCTGCAGGAAATTAATCAATACACCAAAACTGCATAATTAAGTTAAAGTTGTTTTGGTGACCATGCTGTCCATTTGCACCCAGACCACTTCATCTCACTGAAGTGTTCTGGGTGCAGTGTCCCTGTCCCCTTAGCCCTGTAATGTAAAACACTCTAGTTTCAGAGAAACTGCAATATTTGTATTGCAGGGTTAAGATTGCATCTAGCACTTCCTGCTGTATCACAGAGTTGAACTTTAATGGTCAACGTCTTCAAATCCCCCATAGGAAAACATTGAGTCATTACTTTCCTATGGGCAAGGCTTAGTGTGCACGCGCATGCCTTCAGAGGAGGCCCAACCCAGTGCCGAGGGACCTCAGTAATGGAATCAGGCAAGTGTTTAAAGGGCTGTTTAACCTTTCATGGTTTTGGTGGGCACAGAGGCAGAGGGACACTTTAGTGCTAAGAATAGAGTTTTGTATTCCTAACACTATAGTGTTTCTTTAACTCCTAAAGGCATAGAATTGAGCAGTGAGACTGCAAGGGCATGATCTGTACACCAAATCCACTTATTAAGATAAAGTTGTTTTTGGTTCTTAGTGTGTACATTTAAGTATGAAGTACTATGTATAAAAAATACCACTTTCTGTCTCATTAGAGATCTTTGCCAGAAGCTCAAGGAAGCAAGGTGAATGGTTAGAGTTAGGACTCACCTGAGAAATTTGCCTTGACGTGGCAGGTGGGCATTCCCTCTCATGGCCATTGGAGGTAACTAAAAACCTCCATTTGTTTAAATATACATAGGGATTTGGGAAAGAGCCCAGGTAACTTTTTTCTTTGGTTTTTACTTTATGTATTTGGGCTGATGTGTAATATGGCCGTTACTGCCGCCCAGGACTTGTTTTTTGTATCTGTTTAGGGTACTGACCTGCTTTTAGGACTCAGTATGAGTTACTAACCTCCATTTCTTAGTGTGTGGTACTAACCTGCTTCTCATAAACCTTGTGAATCACCAACCTAACTCTTGTACTTGGAGTGAGGCACTCACCTTCTTCTCATAATCCGTATGAGGCTGCTCTTTACCGGTCTGAAGTTTATACAGCACAGTCTGCTCCTGTCGCTTATTTTCACTCTTGAGCTGGTCCCTCTGGAAGTCAGCCACGGCATCCTTACTGGTTTCTGTGAAAGTCTTGGCAAAGAAGTTCTGAGACTTGGGAACGAATCCTGAGGACAATCAGATCAATAAACAACATATACATTAATAATGCTGGCTTGAACTCTATAAATGCCTTTATTAGAAGAGAAAGATGGTATAAAAGTCATGTTAATAGTTGTTTTGGTTTTTAAACAGCAGTTGTTCAGCAGCTTTTTTTTTTTTAATTCTTTATTTTATTTGTGCTCATTGTGAACAACCCTGTTTGTACTGCCACAACAGCTGGCACGAACAGACATGTATGCATACATTAACATTAGTGTGGTTTAAGAAACATTGCACTTTTGTTTTTTAAGAAATCAGGATTGGTAACATATGAAGGGTTCAACAAATGTAGATGATTCAGGCAACTGGTGACCTAGAGTGTTAGTTGGTTGCCTGTGAAGGCATAGTAAGGCATTATTACAGCACAACGTGGCTCCGGTCCCCTGGGCACAAGAGTAATACTGTTGTTTGGTAAATATTCCTAACTCTCAGATGCTGAAGTGCTCCAGGTTTGGGATGGGTCCCCCTCCAATGGTACTTGGCTATGGATCATACTGATTGCTAAGCTGTATTGTACATGGAGGGGGGTAGTCAGGGCCAATGCCCGGATGGGCTTCTATTTTCGGTAGCCACGTAATAGGTGGGGATGAGTATCTAAAACTTTGAACGGGCTTGGGTGTCCAGGGTAAAAGGTCTTGGTCTCTTTTGTTGCACTCTAGCATGGTGTAGGCAGGAGCATTTTACACTTGTATGGTACAAAGAGGAAACAATTTATGCTAGTGTGGTGTAAGCAGAGAGCATTTCTCACTACTATGGCGTGAGCGGAGATCAATTTACCCTGGCATGGTGTAAGCAATGAACCGTTTACACTAGTATGGTGTGAGCAGAAAACAATTTACATTAGTATGGTGTAAGCAAGAAACAGTTTTTAGCTATAGTAAGAACAATTTTTAACTAGATGAGTATAGTCACTGATTTTAGTGGCGGAGTCTGGTGCTTCCCATTGGAAGGAGGGGTGTCCTCGCATTGTGGCCTGTTCAGGTGATGTTGCCTGCTGGTTTGGCACGCTGGGACGACCTGGGTATAAATTCCCTTGCGGTGGTAGGGTCCAGCCTGGACAGTGAGGTTGTGGGTTCTGGAAGCGGTGCCGTCAGACCCAGTTGGCTCAGGTGAGTGGCAAGTTCTTGTGGGCTCCTAGCACGGTACAGAGTTCCTCGGGAGGTAAAGGTTATGAGACGTGGGGTACCCCAGTGGTACTGGATGTTGTTGGACCTCAGGAGTAGTAAACTGGGTTGAAGTGATTTCTGCCAGTTTAGAGTTCCTCTCGTTATATCAGAGAATAATAGTAGTTGAGATTCTTCAAATGATATAGGGGTTTTCCCTCGGGCCGCTGCCATGACTGCAGATTTGTCCTGTTGGGTTTGGAATCTTACTATAATGTCTGCCGTGGCGGTCGGGGGTGCAGTTGATGGTTTGGGCAAGCGGAACAGTCCGTCAATCTTCACGAGTTTGGCCTGCTTGGGTTGCAGTAGTGTTGCTATTAGGCGTCTCACATAGTGACTATATCGTCAGGTACCCCTCTGACCTTTAAGTTGGTCCTCTGTCTTTGGTCTTCTAAGGCCTCCACCTTCTCCACCGTGCCCACTTGTTGTGTGTGGAGGGCTGACATTTTTTGTTCCAGATTGTGTAGTCTTGTGTCATGATTGTCTGCTTTCGTCTCCAAATGAGTGAGCCTTGTGGTGGCCCCTTCCAAGGCCTCCTTGAAGTGTGTGCGGTCAGTAGGTAGATCCTTCTGAGCTCTGTGAACATTTTAGTTAGCAGGGTTGCTGTAATCGGTTCCTCTGCTGGTGGTGCTTTGGGCTTGAGCCCTGCGGGCTGGTCAGCCAAAGCGCCTTCTCCCAGGTCCGGGTAGAAGTCTCCTGAGGAGTCTGAGTAGTCTTCCTCCCCCAGCGCCCCATGCGGCCTTTTGCGAGTTCCGCAGGAGTTCTCCGATGTCGTGGCTAAGGGGGGTTCTGTCCGGTCGTGGCTTCTTATTTTTTTTGCCCATTATCCTCTCCTCGGTCTGTTGGTAAGGTTTAGGGAAGCTATGTGCCCAATTTCCACCGTTTGATCGGGTTTTTGCTTTATGTTAATACGGAGCTATTCACCATGCGTCTTTGCTGGTCCGCAGCTAGCTCCGCCCCCCGTTCAGCAGCTTTAACTTAAAGAATCACATCACCTATTACTGCTTTACCACGAAATTTCTACAACTGATTGCAAGGTTACTACGGTCTTATAAGGACAGTCCAGGCACCAACATCACTTAAAGTGACACTATAGTCACCAGAACAACTACAGCTTCTTGTATTTGGTCTGGTGAGTGTAGTCAGTCCCTGCAGGCTTTTTGCAGTAAACACGGTCTTTTAAGAGAAAACAAATACATTAAAGCCTAGAGATACCTCCACTTGCCACTCCTCAAATGGCTACTACAGGTGCTTCCTGGGTCAATGCAGCATTGTGTGCAGCACTGACATTTCAGTGTATCCACCTTCTGCATGGTGACACAACTTTCCTCATGGAGATGCATTGATTCAATTCAGCTCTATGAGGAGATGGTGATTGGCTGGGGGCACCTCCTTGGTTGAGGTCATCAGAAGTAGCAATCTCAGCCAATCCAATTCTTTCTTGTAGGAAAGCATTTTGATTGGCTCAGATCATCATTTCTGATGATGTCAGCCAAGGAGGCAGATCAGGAGCAGAGCCAGCACTAACATACTGGAATAAAGGTAAGATTTTACTATATTTACAGGGGCAGGGAAGGGGGGCTAGATAGTGTTTTTAACACTATAGGGTCAGGTATACATGTTTGTGTTCCTGACCCTATAGTGTTCCTTTAAGTGCAATTGATAGATTTGGTCTCTTATATAAGCTGTGCATGGCAAAACTATCCTCAGTGCATATTCACCCCTGACAAGTATACCATGGACCAAAATTGCATGGCTAGTAGTGTAGGACTTAAATTTCTAAGTACTGATTCTGTATTTCTTCACAATCACTCTGATCTCTTAATGGATGAGCTAAACATGTCATCAGAATTCTATTTTTAAGCAATAGAAAAGAGATTTGAAATCGGCAAAAACCACAGTGTGAGTATGAGGTCAAATGCATTTAAAGCGGCACTGTCACAACTCCCCCTCTCCAAAATGAGTATATTATAAATATAAAATCCTCAGGTTGACTGTGTTAAAATGTCACAGAATTTCAAATCCAGTCAATAGATATACTGAGACAACGCAGGGACTACTTTGTCTTAGTATTTTTCCTATGGTTGACAAAAAGGAGGAGCTACCTTTTGTTAAGCCTTGTCTTTAGCCGTCACTAGTGGCGACTGAGAAAATGTTTTGTCAATGATCCCGCTATCTTGCAGTTGGATAGACGTTGGCTCCTGGCAGGTGAAGTGTCAGGAGCTGATGAGGACCCATAGGAAACAATGGCAGCTGCCACAAGAGACAGGTTCAGGTAAGTATAACTCACCCTCCCCTGTACCTCTTGGCCATTGTCAGGGGTCTTTGCAGGTTATGCAAAGACCCCAGATGGTGACAGAGCCACCTTAAGTTATATTGGTGCCCAAAGTGTTACTTTAAGGCTTGTAAACATAGAAACATAGACTCTAGGATCCAGGAATCACCAAACTGCCCTGAAAAAAGGCCCAAAAATCCTCAGACCTAGATGCGTGTTTTCTATCCCCCATCACTTCTCTCAAAAATATATAACAAAAATATGACCATCGTAAGAGCCAAGAACTCAGGATCCACCTATGAGCTGCCGGTGACCCAGATAAAGGACTGCCTCATGCCCACCATGACCGTAGGCAATAGGGAGCATGTTGTCTGTACCAGCTGCAAGAGCAGACCACACACTCCCCACTGGACCACCAGGGATATTATGGGAGCCCAAGGTGGACCACCAGGGATTAATGGATTATATCACATCCATGCAAAAACGTAAGCAGGAAGTGGGAAAATATAGTGAACATATCTGGACTGGATTCACACAGATAATCATTGAAATCGTAATTAGGACTGGCAATTATACATTGTTTGCATCATATTTCAATTTCACACTCTGAGCATAGGAATTACTCAGCAATGGATTCCCTGTGGTATTAATAGAATTTCTCAGCCTCTTATGAGCTGGCCCATGTACAATTTCAACATCAGGCTTCTGTGAAAAATAGACACAATGGCTTTCTACCTAGTTTATACTGGAGTGCTTTCCTATTTGCAGTGAGCAAGCCATTAGACCATTAGAACTCCAGTTAGGTAAATCATCTGCAACCAATTATGCTAGATATGCAGAGTCTGTAACATTCAATGCCTTCTTCTAAAGAAGTTCGTCTCAGAGCAGGTATTTCAGCTAATTAGGCAGAATGGTCTCCTGCCAAGATCGGTTAACTACCCCTGCATCAGCAGATTTATCATCTTATGGACAATTTGCAGTAATTGCGGTACCGTCGGTGCACAAAAGAATGAAAATTAATCAAATGTTCACTACGTTACCATTCTAAGTAACCACGTCACGTGCAAAATTAAATTATAGTTTTTCCGCAGAGTTGTAGGATCTAATGTATGCAGCGTTCGGTGTAATAATTGTGTATTATGATGAACACAGTCACAGCATTTTCAGACTTTGTGTTTCTACGATGAGTTGATTACAGCTCTAAGGAAACGGTTTGCAGAGTGTTCTCTGACATTGCCCATTTAAGAGGCGTTTTGGAATTCCGTTCTGATCCATTCTCTGTGAATGTATTATGCAGCAGCGATATGAGGGGCACTAAAGAGTGGGGCAACAAATCCTGTCTACAACCCAATAATGATTCTGAGCCAATTCTTCCTTCTTATAACTAGCATAAAGACCCCCTACTTGAATTAGTATTGTAAAATCCCAAAAATAAAATGAATGAAAGTGAATGCACACCAGGCTGACTGCCAATCAAGCAGACTGGTTCCCTGTTCAAGCACTCCACACATGGTCACGTGAGAGTCTCATTAGATGCTCTTGCTCATGGTGTACCTACTATGGTTGCAGCTCCAACCGGCCCGTCACTCCTGAGGGCTTGGCCACAGCTGTAACCCCTGCAGTTGTTGGGTAACCAGCAGGAAGGGAGCGCTGTGCTGTGCTGCTCCCCTCCTGCCACTGTGCGTAGTGTGGCCGAGCGGTCTGACAGGAAGTGCTCACTGAGAGAGCAGTTCCGATCAGTCGGGTACCGCGTTGGTGAGCAGTCACACGAAGGAAGGGGAGAGAGACACATAAAGGGGCTGTGGGGAGGAGGGAATGGAACACATGGAGGGGCTGCAGGTGAGGGAATGAGACACACGGAGGGGCTGGGTTGAGGGAATGAGAAAAATGGAGGGGCTGGGTCGAGGGAATGAGAAAAATGGAGGGGCTGGGTCGAGGGAATGAGACACATGGAGGGGCTGCAGGTGAGGGAATGAGACACATGGAGGGGCTGCAGGTGAGGGAATGAGACACATGGAGGGGCTGGGTTAAGGAAATGAGACACATGGAGGGGCTGCAGGTGAGGGAATGAGACACATGGAGGGGCTGGGTTGAGGGAATGAGACACATGGATGGGGCTGGGGGTGATGGAACGAGACACATAGGAGGAGGGGTGCAGGGCAATTTATGCAACATGGCCAGGTGTTTTCTAGTTACGTCTCTGGTTTGGTGCATCTATTACAAAGTAACATTTCTGGTCGCAATAATTAATTATATACATCATGATCACTCTGAACCACTACACAACTGCACTGTTTTCTTTTTCTGAAAAACACGTCTATATATTAATTTGTGCATGTGTGTGCGCATGTAATTGTATGTGTGAACATGTTCTTAGGTCATGCATTCTAAGTGTACATTTTGCCAGCTCTGTATAACTGGGTGACTTAATCGGATGTATTAATACCTGTATATCCTGGGATCAAGCTACGGCTGAGTTTCTTATCTCCCAGGCTTCTTCTCCTGATTAACTTCTCTGGATGATCCCTATTAATGTCCGTCCGGGAAGGTGGAAAGGCACATGATTGGAGAACTAACTGTCCCGAGTGCCTGATATCAGGATTAGTCAGTAACTGAGACGTGAGCTTTCCATAGGTTTTCCCCTGGTTGAACTTGTACTGAGGGCAGAAGCCACCATACCTGTATTGGGAAGACAAAGTGTGTAAGTAATTAAGATTAAGGGAACACTATATGACAAACAAAAATGTATGTACAGATTGTACCTAAAGGTAAATATAATAAATATTAAACATATTTTAAGTACATAACAAACAACTCTACATATTACAGTTACTTATATAGCACCAACATATTCCGCAGTGCTGTACAATTGGTGAAAAAGACAAACATGTAATTCTAACAAAACAAGTTTGAAGATGGCCCTGGCCAGAGGAGCTCACAATCTATTAAGTAAAGTTAGTTTGATTACACCTGTGTATTTGAATGCAATGATTGTTATCAACATATGGGAAATATAGTGTCATGTTTGCTATGTTGAATGATATTCCATCCTTAATAAACACCACAAAGAGTTAAACAAGGAATGAAGTAATTAGGGAATTGTGAACAGTACACAATGAAAATGCACATTTGCACATAATAGGAGATAATAGTGAATCTGTAACAACAGCCATATTGGAGATTTTTTAAAGTTGGTCTATTTGATCAAAATGTGATTAACTATAGCCAGATTTGATTAATTATTATTGTTTTCACTATCCAGTATATCACCCACCTTTACTGACCATAAGCAGCATGTATGGACTCTTAAGAACTCAAAATATGGTTCAAAAACTGAACACTTCAACAAAGAGAAATGCAATAAGAGAAGTTGCTTTAAAAAGTTATTTATTTATCCATAATTCTATCCAGAAATTTAAATAAATATGGATGGCAAGTCAGTAATACAAAAAATAAATATACTGACTACCTATAAGAGGAGGTATATCAACAGCTGCACTGGACTGGGGTGGAGGAGGGGGGTTGTTAAACATATGCCCCCCTCCTCCACCCCAAGCAGGGGGGGGGGGGGGGGGAATGCTGTTGGGGAACTGCCTGGGATGCCAGGCAAGACCCATATCGCGATCGCTGGCGGAGGATTGCTTGTGGGGGATCGCCAGCGATCAGGTAAGTGGATATTTGGGATCAGAGGTGACAGGTACTTCGGCAGTCATTAATGACGATTTTTTTGTCGGGAAGGGGTTAAAGGACCACTATAGTGCCAAGAAAACATGCTCTGGGGAGAGGAAAAAAAATCTTACCTTTCTCCAGCGCTGGGCGGGGAGCTCTCCTACTCCTCTCCGCCTCCTCCTCTTCGGCTGAATGCGCATGCGCGGCAGGAGCTGCGCGCGCATTCAGCCAGTCTCATAGGAAAGCATTCATAATGCTTTTCTATGGACGCGTGTGTCTTCTCAACAGTGAGAAGCACGCAAGCGCCTCTAGCGGCTGTCAATGAGACAGCCACTAGAGGCTTTAGAGGCTGGATTAACCCATTTATAAACATAGCAGTTTCTCTGAAACTGCTATGTTTATAAAAAAAAGTGTTAACCCTAGCTGGACCAGGCACCCAGACCACCTCACTAAGCTGAAGTGGTCTGGGTGCCTATAGTGGTCCTTTAAGTGAAGCTATCAAAGTGTTACAGTGGCTTCTCCTATGTAATTTCTGTGTTATGATTATTATTGATATTTATATAGCGCCAACCTATTCCGCAGTGCTTTACAATATTACAATTAATATAGGAGACAATTGCAAAATGTTACAGGAACAATGGGTAGATGGGGATCCTGCTCAGAGCTTACAGTCAAGAGATACAATCCTCAAGGGCCTTAGTTATAGTGTGTGACTTGTTGCTGTGGAGACTGGTACACACACACAAAGACAAGGCTTGCAGCCAGAAAGACAATATATCCGGAGATATTTACAGAGCAAAATACAAACACACATACCTAGTAACCTACCACACCTGCAGCCTGCTCCCCCTCTTCATTGGAACATAACCAGATCAATTACTTTTGGCCATGTCCCTGCCTGGGAAGATATCAGGTGATATTCACTGTATGACCAACCTGATATGTTTGTGTTCGCTGGTCTCGTAGTTTTCCCTTTCGTTGGTTTAAGTTGTCGTTTTACCAGCCACTGACTCTGCATTATATTGTCATGGAATATAAGCCTCCCAGCTAATCAGTGTGAGGAGATTTGGAACATGAGCTGTTTAAAAGCCATTATTAATGTCCTGGGGAAACATGAATTGTGCAGCTCGAGCTATAACAGTTCCAACTGCTTCTAGATACATTGTAACAAGGTGGGGTTCTAGCAGGGAATGTGTCCCTCCATCAAGGGCCAGTAAGACGAATATGCACATGTCCTCTCACTGCTCCCTGCTCTAATTCTGAAAAGAACATTTTAAAGGGGGATTCCTGACCACTAAGTACAAATTAAACTCTCAGACTATTTTACTTTGCTATAACAAGACCAGCGAGTATCCTCAGCAAAAGTGTCTGTCACTTTAAGAGCACTAACATTGCACACATTTACTTACCTAGAGGAACACGTTTTATCCTCAGCAAAAGCGTCTGTCACTTTAAGAGCACTAACATTGCACACACTTACCTAGAGGAACACGTTTTATCCTCAGCAAAAGCGTCTGTCACTTTAAGAGCACTAGCATTGCACACTTTACTTACCTAGAGCACACTTTACTTACCTAGAGGAACACGTTGGGTAGATCCAAGAGGGGTGTTTAAATCATGGCTCTTTGTTACGAAGGCTGGTACTCAGTGGCTGCTACATGTATATACCTCATTATTGATTAAACTTTTTAGAGACTGTATCATAGACTCGTAGTCAAATTAAGCCATTATTTTAATACATGTATTCTTAGTATCAATAAACATTGTGTCAGTGTGTTAGATGTATTGGAGTCATATTCTCTGGATGTAAACAATTTAACTGGAGGCACTTTAAGAAAAGCTCACCTAATCTCGTGTTATAGGAAAATCAGGGCCCTGTGCCACTTGGAATCTGGGGACAAAAGAGGCATTTTCAAAGCCCTAGCATTCTTGAGAGTCCTACAGCAAATGCCAATGTGTGCCCCAGGCAGGTGGCTTTTTTTGTTGCAATGCATATCTTCACATTCTCAGTCTGTCATGGTGGCTTGGTAACCTATAGAAAGGTAAATCCTCCCCTTCCCCCACGGAATAGTGAAACATGGGTCACAAATCAGGACTGTCTCGCATGATCAGGGATTATTGGTATGTGTGTCTGATTCTTAAGAATTGTAACATCGGGTAGCAATGAATGGGGATACTGCATACATGAGTACAATGGTATGTAACCCACTCCAATCAGATCAACCAACCCCATAAGCATGATTTCTTTAACCCCTTAAGGACCAAACTTCTGTCATGTGTCCTTAAGGGGTTAATGTTAATGTGTTAAAAATGAACTAGGATTGAGGAATCCATCTGAAAATTGGCTCATTTCATTAGACACAATGCTTTTTAAATGTAAGTAATCAAGAACATCGAATTGGTGTTTATAAAACATAAAATATGTGGGTGTGTTAGTACATTCTAACAAGCCTGCTAGCTGATGGAACTTCACCTGCAGCAAAATGGAAATGTTTTTACAAAGTGAGCATCATTCTTATCTCTTTCATACTCAGAATTCATACTTTCAAGTGCAGTGTTTAAAATATAGTATTTCATTTTAAATGTTAATTTTACCTAAAAATAAACAAACACAATTAATTAATTAATAGGTAAACACCTGAGATATAGTGAACCCATTTGAAAAGCACCTTGCTTACCTATATAAGCCATCTCCCAACCAAATTCACTTACCCTGGGATATAATGGGGATCTGGGGTCATCAGCTGGGGGCTGAGCTTTGGGGGGAATGTTGAGGCCATTTTTTGCACCTGTCCTGGAGGTCACCAGTCACCCAGCCTCCCCTCCTCTGTCTCCTGGGCCTGTGTCTATGTGTCAGTGTGTGTGTCACTGTTGTTAGTGATAGGGAGACAATTGTTTGGTTGAGCAGTGGCTGGGATCCCAGGGAGAAGAGGAGGGGCAGAGAGACACAGACAGACCAGTTCTTCCTATGCAACACCCATTGTCACCAGGGCACATTGAAATACCAGTCACAGAGACATAATAATCACTAAGACAGACACAGACTCTGCAACAGAAGAAAAGAAACAAAATGATACACTTTAAAGGTTTGTATCCACACCAGTCACCTATATTGTTACATACCTACAGTGGGCACATTCCTTTACAAATCTGAGCGACAAGGGGAAGCAAGGAAGGCTATTGGCACAGTGAGGATATGGGTCTCTGTACCAAAGAGCATGCAATCTAAATAAAAAATATTGTGTTAGATAAAAATTACTGGCAATCAGTTCAATTCTATATTTTAAAGAAATATGAAAACACAATATATACTCTAATATAATGTTATTGTTAAAAGGTTACTACACCCCTTTTGTTTGCAAATGTTTTTTTCTATATAGGGTCCTATTGCTCTATAAGGTTTCAGGGGTGAGCAATATAGATCTTGTAAATATTTAAAATGGGAAAAAAAGTAGCTATGTATATAACATTAAAATGGTTTCTAGAATTCGAATAGGAAGGAGGAGTTGGAATTTTATTAAAATGTATATTTACAGATTCCTGCAAGTTGCGAGGTAGGGCATCCATGGATCGGATTTTTTGTTCCGGCACATCCTGCAGATGCTCAATCAGATTTGGAAAATTTGGAGGCCAAGGCAGCACCTTGAACTCTTTGTCATGTTTCTCAAACCATTCCTGAACAATGTTTGCAGTGTGGCCAGGGCCGGCCTGTCCATAGGAGAAGGTGGCTTTAACAGGTGTCTGCCATTAGGGACCTGGTCTGCCTCTGCTGCATATATAGCGCATATATACAGTATCTCACAAAAGTGAGCATACACCCCTCACATTTTTGTAAATATTTTATTATATCTTTTCATGTGACAACACTGAAGAAATGACACTCCACTACAATGTAAAGTAGTAAGTGTACAGCCTGTATAACAGTGTAAATTTGCTGTCCCCTCAAAATAACTCAACACACAGCCATAAATGTCTACACCAGTACTGCCATCAGGGAACACCATTGCCATGAAAGGGTGTATGGGGTCTGCACCAATCTCTAGGTAGGTGGTACGTGTCAAAGTAACCTCCACATAAATGCCAGAACCCAAGGTTTCCCCGCAGAACATTGCCCATAGCGTAACACTGCCTCCGCCAGCCTACCTTCTTCCCATAGTAATGTGAGGGTTGAATAGGGGGGGCATCTGCAAGGTGAGAGGCAGTGACCTAAAAAAGGCAAAGACAGAAGGATAGGGAAAGGCGAATTTCCAGATCTTAACGTGGTCAGGCTTAATGTAAAGCAGGAACGAGAAAGTAACCGGACTAAACTAAGAGAAAGACTAGAGTCCAGGAGAGGAACAAAAAATTAAACACACAATACCTGACAAAGGCAAGGGTCAGGAGCATGAGAAAAGCAATGTCAGGAACAAGCCAGGAAATGGCACATGGGAAGGGAAGTCAGACACCACAGGAACTGGTACATGAAATTAGGCAGAAGGCAAAAAGGCTGTGGCAGGAGAGCAGAACTTGGTCAAGTAAGCTGGATCAAAATAACAGGATCAGAGCAAAATATCACTAGGGATAGAGGATCCACAAAAGGGCACAGAGCGGTCAGAAAGTTCTCTTAATATAGAGAGACCCTGTACCTGTTTGGCTATTGAATGTTGGCATCAATCAAGTCAGAAAGTTAGGATCCTGACAAGTGCACCCTGCTGCCATCTTTTCGACAGGTAAACTATGCACACACACCTGGTCAGCAAACTGATCTAAACGAAAGTGTGATCCGCCAGACCAGGCAACCTTCTTCCATTGGTCCAGTTCTGATGCTCACATCCCCAATGTAGGGGCTTTAGGTGATGGACAGGGGGCATCATTGGAACTCTGACCGATCTTTGGCTACAAAGCAAGCTGCCATGCTCAATACATTCTTACACATTTCTATCATGGCTAAAGCCAGCATTAGGTTTTTCAGCAATTGGACCTACTGTAGCTCTTCTGTGTGATCAGGTGCATCGATGCACACTGACACCAGTTCACCAGTTTTCCTTCCTTGTACCACTTTTGGTAGGTACTAACAGGGGCATTTTAGCCATGAGGCAAACAAGGCATTTGCCTTGGGCGGCATTTTTCAGGGGGCGGCATTGGCGGGCGGGCGGCTGACGAGGGAGCTCTTCCTGCCTGAAGATGACGTCATATCTCGGCTCCCAGCCTCACTCTGCGGCGCGCGAGGGAGCTGAACAGTCAGCTCACAGGAAGAGCTCCCTCATCAGCCGCCCGCCCGCCAATGCCGCCCACCCAGCAGCCACTGGACCACCAGGGAGATAGAGAACCCCTTCCCTCCCCAGCACTCCCAAAGGTAAGGAGGCTGGAGGGGGGGGAGTTTAAAAAGTACATGTGTTAATGTGAGTGTGTGTCTGTTAGTGTGTGTGTGTCTGTTAGTGAGTGTGTGTTAGTGTGTGTGTATGTCTGTTAGTGAGTGTGTGTTAGAGTGTGTGTGTGTCTGTTAGTGAGTGTGTGTGTGTGTGTGTCTGTTAGTGAGTGTGTGTTAGAGTGTGTGTGTGTGTGTCTGTTAGTGAGTGTGTGTGTATCTGTTGGTGAGTGTGTGTGTCTGTTAGTGAGTGTGTGTGTCTGTTAGTGTGTGTGAGTGTGTCTGTTAGTGAGTGTGTGTCTGTTAGTGTGTGTGTAGTGTGTCTGTTAGTGAGTGTGTCTGTGTGAGTGTGTGTGTGTGTCTGTTAGTGAGTGTGTGTGTGTGTCTGTTAGTGAGTGTGTGTGTCTATTAGTGTGTGTGAGTGTGTCTGTTAGAGTGTGTAGGTGTGTCTGTTAGTGTGTCTGTTAGTGTGTGTGTGTCTGTTAGTGTGTGTGTGTGTGTGTCTGTGAGTGTGTGTGTCTGTGAGTGAGTGTGTCTCTGCTAGTGAGTGTGTGTGTTTTACTGTGTGTGTCAGTGAGTTTGTGTTTCTGTTAGCTGGTGTATGCGTATCTGTCAGTGAGTGTGTGTGTGTATTTAGAAGGCGGGGGAAGGGATGGGTGGAGGTCGCGCGCGCGCGGGGGAAGGGATGGGTGGGGGTCGCGTGCGCAGGGGGGGTTGGGGGGCGCCTGAGTTTTGTCCTGCCTAGGGCCGCACAAAACCAGGATACACCACTGGGTACTAACCACTGCATACTGGGAACACCCCACAAGACTTGTAATGCTCTGGACCAGTTGTCTAGTGGTCACTATTTTGTCCTCATCAAAGTCACTCAGAACTTTTCACTTGCCCATCACATGAAATTCAAGAACTGACAGTTCATTTGCTGCCTAATATCCCACTCCTTGACAGGTCTCATTTTAGCAATATAATTAATAACAAAATAAATGTTATTCACCTCACCTGGTTTTAATGTTGTGGCTGATCAGTGTAAGTTATCAGTACATATTATGGCTGACCCACAATCCTGTTATAGAAACATAGAATGTGACGGCAGATAAGAACCATTCGGCCCATCTAGTCTGCCCAATTTTCTAAATACTTTCATTAGTCCCTGGCCTTATCTTATAGTTAGGATATCCATAGGCCTATCTATTATAAGTTATCTGTAAATATAATGACCGACCCACAATCTTATAATAAGCTATCAGTAAATATAATGACCGGTCCACTATCTTGTTATAAGTTATCAGTAAATATAATGACCAGTCCACTATCTTGTTATAAGTTATCAGTAAATATAATGACTGGCCCACTATCATGTTATAAGTTATCAGTAGGTATAATGACCGGTCCACTATCATGTTAAAAGTGGAATGCCTCCTCTCCTAGTAGGAATTTTGTATAATGTTGCAGCCTTTTCATGATAAATCAGTGATTTCCTGGTGGAAATTCAGACTTATAACATTTACTTTTAATGTTGATCACAATCTTATAACGAGCTATTGTTTAGCAGCTCACACTTTGAAGCTTTGTCGGTGTGGTAGCAGCTCAATGGAAATTATTTCCTGGCAAAGATTGTGGAATTTAAAACTTAAACATAGGATAGAAGACATAGTATAGAACACATAGGATAGATTGTGTTATATATGCTTCTTATGTCTCAATCACAGAGTGGGGACTGGGACCTCAGTGAAGTGGTCTTGGTGCCACAGCCCTGCAGTTTTAACCCTGCAACTCAAAATGGCAATGTTTATATTTCAAGGTTAACATGCCTCTAGTGGGTGTCAGTCATCCAGCCACCATAGGTTCTTCTGCCCTGAATTAAACTCAGCTACTCAGTGAGATGGTCTTATAGACACCATTTGATTTGCGCAAGATGCCATTCTGCCGTGCATGCGCACTAGCCTCCAAATGTTTCCCAAAAGGGGAATATTGGATTGGCCGAGATCATCTACACTGAGATGGAGTGTCAGGACAGAGACAGATGCTGCGAGGTGTGAAAGGTTAGTAAATCTCACCTTTCAAACTGACATGGCAGCGAAACCCTAAAATAGGTAGTTAAAAACTGTATCGCTAGAAATACGTTTCTAACACTATAGGTTTCCTTTACTATTAAACCTACATATACACCTCCACATACATTGTTTTGTACCTGTGCAGGTATGCTAGTGTTGTTCTATGTAGAGCAGGTGCATTTTTAAAAGAGTCTTTTTTTAACAGAGAAGTATTAAAGGGTTTTATTGAAAAAAACAAAAAACAATTGGCTATTTGTGTCTCTCATTCCCCTTGAGGTCCTAAAGAATAGAGAATAAGGCTGGAAGGTTAACAGGAAAACACGAACAGAGCTGACCCTACGTGGTTCCTCTGCATTGTTCGCCGTGTTAAAAAAATTACCCAAAACATGGCAAACATTTCCCAGAAAAGCGACGTTTGCTGTACATTAACTCGAATACATATAGTAAAAATATGTAAGAATTAAGAAAAGAAAATATTAGTACATTTCCTGGTCCAGTAAGGAATAGTTACTGATCACTTTCCCAGAGTAATTTCATTTTAACGCTCTCCCTTCTGGGTAAACAGACATTCTGGGCAATATATACAGGGCCCAGCCTCACCAATAACTACTGGATATTCACTGACATTCTCTTTATTTTACTCCCGATTATAAATCTGCTACTTTCTGTACACTCTGGTTTGTGGGCAGATACAGTGCTGGCTGGTGGCCACATGCTGTACAGATTGTAAATAATGACTGGTGGCCCTGTGCTGCCAAAATCATGGGTACTGGCTCTGGCTGGTGGCCAAATCATTATGGTGTAGTAGCTGGAGGCCACATAGATGCAATAAGTTCCGTTATAAAAGTCAGCTCCTCTGAGCAGGTGATCAGAACTTACCACATACAAGCAATTTCTTTTTTTCTTTTCTATTGTTAATCATTGTAGGCTGGTGCGTTGGGGCAGTTTGGGTGGTGCATTGTGGTTTTTTTGTTGCAAAAAAAAAAAATTCAAGTATGACAGAGAAACAAATGTCTGAAAAATTACAAGTAAAGGATCTCTATACTCTCTTAAACCTTTCATCCTTCCCATCCACTTATTCTGTAACTGATAAAAGAATAAATTAAAAGTTAATATATTTAAATCTGTAGGTATCCCACCTGAATCACAAAATCTTTATTTTACTACACCTATTATTCTTACATTTCTATGCTAGATGTATGAATTCCCAGCCCGTGATCAGTATATATTTAAAAAAAAAAAATGTTTTATTCTTTATTTTGGTGTGCACATGAGTAACAGTAAACCTTAGTGCGCCACAACAGCGTCATCATGGTTTGTTAATAAACATTTGCATTACAGGTTGTGGAAATTGATTATCAGGCACAATTTGTATTTATTTTTTTGGTTAGTGATTACAAGATTGCAACAATATTGGTTCTCTATTAGCTTAAACTTAAAAGTATGCAAGGTAGCTTTGAAATAAAAACATGTTTAGCTCAGCGATGTATCAACAAGAAAAGTAAGGTAAAGCACAGTTATTCTCAGAGAGGTATGCATTATGTCGCTTGATCTGCACCTAGAGGGCCTGCCTGAATGTGAGACAGGTTGTATTATTCGAGATACAGAGGATCAAGAACCTCAGGTAGGCTCATAGATTACCAGTAAGCTTTAAGTATGATAAACAACTAGTAGTATGCATGCTGCCACACACAAAGTACTGCAGAATCTGTCTGATTTATGGTGCTACCGAGAGGGGCACAGCATAGGCAGTGAGTCCGAGGCTGGGATCATCCATCACTGACGGGCGGCAGTGCAAAGAGAGCTGCACATGTGAGTCTCGTAATGTAGGTCAGCTGCACCTTCCTTAGCAGAGCCTGGTTATGTGTGAGTGATGAGAGTAATCGCCAGGTTCAGTTGCTGTGGTATCGGCTTATGGCAGTAGTTAGGCAGAGCTGCAGCTAATGCCGCTGGTGGGCTGCTACGATCTGACCGTTTCCATACCCGGCTTCAGGGATGTGAGATGGACGTGACTTCCGTGGACTCCATGCTCTGCCGCTGCTTTCCATCTCCTCTCTTTGTGCAGCCTGGAGGCAAATCATATGCAGGCCTGCGGGAAGGAGTGACGTTCGTCAGGCTGTTGCTTAGTGTAGGCCGCCATTTTAGCAGCCAGGCGCGTGGTGTTCAATGCGAGGTAGGCGTGATATTGGGCCTCTGTGTGGTGGTGATTCTCTCTGGTGGGGACCAGGATAACCCCCCTGGTCCGTGGGGGGGAAGCGGGGTCCACGAGGCGTATCTCAAGGCTTCTACGTGGCAGGCAGGTTCCCAAACAGGACGGTGGCTGTCCGTCCCGCTCTCCACCCTCATAGGCCGCAGACCCCAAAGTCTCTTATCGCCAACGGGGGGCTCCGAAACTCCTGATCTTGGGGACCGCGGTGGCTCCGGCGTCTGCTCGGATACTTGCGACAGCTTTTGGTCACCTAGATTGCTGTGATGCTAGAGTTTTGTGCCACAAATAGACCAATTTTGTCAGAAGCCTCTTCAGCCCATGACCGGTCAGCATGGCGGTCGGGCCCCGCACCCCCAGTATACATTTTAAATTAGAAAAATATTGCCCAATTTTCTTTAAAAAAACTTGAATAATCCACCTAAAATAAACACAGACAAAACTCCCCTCATATTTGCAACACCTAAATGCGAAAGATATTGCAATGCTCCACTGGTACTAGTGCTATTCTCGGTCAAAGTGCTAAATATTGAGCTATCACCATGGAAAACTAGACATAGAATATCTCTCATTATGGACACGGAGTAGTTCTTATTTAGCCTTGATAACTCCCCCCTCCACCCAAAAAGCACACACACTTTTTATGGTTTCAACTACAGACATACCCCGCTTTACGTACCCTCACTTTACGTACACTCGAGTACGGACATACCCACGAGTGTAAGTAAAGTGCCTTGTGAGTACGGACATTCCCTCTCCGTGCAACCACAGTATGGCCCTGAAAAGGCAGAAGCTGATGCCCGGAGTTGCCGCCAGTGAAGTCCCACGCCCGGAGTTGTAGAGATGGCAAGGCAGTTAGAGCTGGAAGTGGAGCCAGAAGATGTTGCTGAACTGTTTGTGTACCACATCGAGCCCCTCAGCAATGAGTATCTTCTAGAACTTGAAGAGGAGAGAGAAGAAGATGTACAGGATGGGGTTGAGATCATTAAACAGCCTGAAGGCTTAACTACAAAAATTATCTTTCCGTCATCTTGATAGCGCCATGGCTCTTTTACTTAAAATAGGATCCAGGATAGATAGTGAGTTCTATTTGGGCCAGCATCTTTATTAAGGATACTGGATCTTTATCTATCTTGGATCCTGGATCTTTATCTATCCTGGATCCTGGATCTTTATCTATCCTGGATCCTTGATCTTTATCTATCCTGTGTGAGCTGCCAGTCACTTACCTTGCCGCTCCCACGCCGGGAAAGGATGCATTAAGTATCAGGGACGCCGGCCGCTATTCGACAGCCCCTTTTAAAGAGGCAGTGCATGTGTATCAACCCCCAGTGGTCAGAAGAGCTCTAAACAAGAGAGCTCAACGTACACATACCTTTTGGGAGCGTGGTTATGTAAATCACGCCCCCAATCATATAAAAGCCCAGTCTGCCTCCAAATCAGTGCCCTGTTGTGGTTCCTAGTGTGCCTTGTGTTCCTAGTGTCCCCTCAGTGTGTTCCTGTATTCTTTTGATAGTTTTTTGTGTTTTGACCCGGCTTGCTTTTGTCTATTCTGATTTCTGGTTTCCCTGACTCGGCTACGTCCCTCGCTATTGTGTATTCCTAACTTCCGTTGACCGTGGCTTGTTTCTGGCATTTCTTGTAGTTTCTATTATTCCGGCCATTCTAAGGACCGGTTTAGGGACTTTCTACCTGTCTCTATTATCTTGGTGATTTTCACTCTGTGTATTGGGTATTATCGTAACATCATGGATCCTGGATCTTTATCCAGGATAGATAGTGAGTTCTATTTGGGTCAGCATCTTTATCAAGGTTTCAAGCGTCTCTATTACTTGATACATTGCATTATATCTGATACGTTTGTATCCTATAACACTATTTGTCATACCCCTTCTTAGACAGGTAGTCGTGAGATTACTAGGCAGGCTACCTCGAAGCAGCAGTGTATAGCCGTGTTTATAGATAGCAACTATAGCCTCTGACTGCCTCTCTGAATATCAGGTTGGTATACTAAACCAGGATAGATAGCGTGTTTTATCTGGGTTTTCGTCTATACTAAGCTTTTAAAGGACCACTATAGTGCCAGGAAAACATACTCGTTTTCCTGGCACTATAGTGCCCTGAGGGTGCCCCCACCCTCAGGGACCCCTTCCCGCCAGGCTCTGGGGAGAGGAAGGGGTTAAACTTACCTCTTTCTCCAGCGCCGGACGGGGAGCTCTCCTCCTCCTCTCCTCCCTCTTCTCCTCCTCTTCGGCTGAATGCGCATGTGCTGCAGGAGCCGCGCGAGCATTCGGCCAGTCCATAGGAAAGCATTCACAATGCTTTCCTATGGACGCTGGCATCTTCTCACTGTGATTTTCACAGTGAGAAGCGCCTCCAGCGGCTGTCAATGAGACAGCCACTAGAGGCTGGATTAACCCATTTATAAACATAGCAGTTTCTCTGAAACTGCTATGTTTATAAAAAAAAGGGGTTAACCCTAGCTGGACCTGGCACCCAGACCACTTCATTAAGCTGAAGTGGTCTGGGTGCCTATAGTGGTCCTTTAAGCTTCTCTCTAACTTGATACACTGCATTCCGTTGGATACATTTGTATCCTATACTACTATCTAGCTACCATCCCTCAAACTATCTGAGTCCATTTAGGACTGCTCTCCTGTGTATATTTAGGATTATTCCTGACATCATCACCAGATTCATTACGTGTTTTCCTGTCCCATATTCTGAGCCTGACTTTCCATACATATATACGAGGTTCTTCTTTATACACTGACTCAAGTTTGAAATATACAATAAACTCTTATGAATAACCTCTTTTTATATATATGTGTATATATTTGTGTTTTCTCCCCCCAGTTTTTAATGGTGTATCACTTGTTTATTTTTGATTTACACACTGTGGTTTCACTATATACACCTTTTTTGTATATATCATTGTCTATGTTTTGTGTATTTGGCTTCTAATAAAGTATATTACTAGTTAATGATATTTTTACTTTTAGAGGTAATTCTAGTGGAGTGGGTTCCCTCTTTATTTAAAGTGTAACCTACCCCATTCCTCACTAATGTAACATGTTCACATAAATAGCTTTAAAGACATGAAAGACATGTACATTTATGTGAGAGATTGTTTACTAGAATAATAGTAAAATATGAATATAATGTCTATCTGAAGATAGACAACTACTGGAGCACCTGGGAGCAGTGGTGTATTTAGGATTTGTGCTGCCCTAGGCAGGATGGTGCCTAGGGCAGCACAAATCAACAGGTAATAACTTGTGCTGGATCCCCCTATCGTCCAGGCTTGTAAAACTGAGATTCCACCGATGTCCATGTCAGGAAACACTCTTGCAGTAAGGCTTGGGGGCCTAGTAGACCAAATAGAGTTGCCGCACGACACACACTTCGCTGGAACCATGCAAGGAACAGACTCAGAGCTCAATCATGAAACAAGTCGGAGAGGTTGGTACTTGTGCCCAGGCCACTGTGATGGAGAAAACTTGCAATACACCTAAGCAAGGGTCTGCTGCCCCAACCTGGATCCCCTAAAGGTGCAGGCAAGGCATGGCGGAGCAGATCCCAAAGTCTCGCAGTTCAGATGAATGAGGAAGAGTTATAGCTGTAGGAGCCAGAACCTAGGTTTCCCTCACTAATAGTCCCCATGGATTGCAGAAGAGATGACTCATTCCCTCCTCGCTGGACCAACTGAGCTCAAAAATTAGAACACAGGGCATCAAAAACGCAGAGGATGTCAGTCCTCTGTGAGTGCGATGTATCTTGAATTTGTTGGGAAGCCAACATGGGTCCAGTGGCCATTTAAGTGTCTGCACAGGAAAGACCAGTTGAAGAAAGGAGCTGCTCTAGAGTGGACCAAAGGGAGGGGGGGCAGACAAAGGCCCACAAGACTAAGACAGCAGAAGGCTAGTGTGCTTGATTTGAAGGTAATGTAGAGGAGCTGCCATCTCCTCCACACATACAGTGTCCTTCGAGGCCCTGAGCGTGGGAGCTACAGTCTCCACACAGAGGGACCAAAGTCAGGGCTAGAAGAAACAAATAAGGCACCAGCACAGCGATTAGCAGATGACCCCAGGCATGCAGTATAGAATATAGAAAATAATACAATTAAATTACTTGAAAAGCAAAAAGTCTCAGGAGCTGTACTGCAATGCAACCGTCCGGCATGTTGGTCAGGCCCTGCCCCTGAATCATGACATCTTGTTCTGACTTATACCATTTATCTCTTTTGAATTTAGTCCATCAGAAAGGAAAAATGTAGACAAACTGTAACCATCTTGGCTACAGTCACCGCTTTACTAGTTGAGAATTAATTTTGCAATTCTGATTTAAAGTTGACGGAATTCTGACTTTAGTGAATAACCCTGTATGGAATAATATTTTCTCAAGGCAGTTCAGTGACAAAGTTATCAGGTATGTAAGTGAGCCGTCAGACGTGTAGGCTCCCCCCCAGGCGCACAGTGCGCCTGCTCTTCTTCACAGAAATGCCAGTGGCAAGCGGTTTTAAAATGTATAAACTTTTCCAAGTGAGCCTTCTCCCCGCATCAGTAAGGGCTGGAGGGCTAACGTACATAGCATATCATAAAATATCCCAAACAAAGATTCAGCCCCAGGCACGTCCTGATTAATATTCTCCCCTACACTCAAACTGTTGCTGCAGCTGCCTGTCATGGGTGGAGGGGGGGCACTGTGCTCACATTGCTCCCAGCAACTACTTCACAAAAGCTATTGCTTGATTTCTCATTTCCCAATCTGCAAACTGATACATTTGAAGTTTAACGCCTGCCTCTCTCCCCCTCTTTCAGGAATGAGCACATTTCCCTTTTATCTGCATTGAGAGTGCATTTTTTTTCTCCTGTCCCAGTTTTGTCCGCCTGCATCCCTTGTTATTCCAGGATTTGTCATTTCATACAGTTCTGCTTCCCTGCTGGTCCATTCTACTAAGAAAAAGGATTTTTCCCCATGTTGCTAAGAGACATTATGGAGTTTGCTAGGCTGTACTTGAGTTGTGTGTCCTTCTGTGCTGTACTTCAGGGTGAGTTTTGCGAATCTGGAAAACTAATACCCACAATTTAGTGTTTCTAAGAATTATTTTTTTAAAATTTAATAATTGGTGACGTGATTAAAGATGGTGCTGGGCAGAGGTTAATAAACTGATGGCTCTGTAGATTTTATTGTAGAATCTTTAAGCCCTTACGTTTGAGAATGGTAGTAAATATTGTTCTATGCTATAAGGTGTGTACAGTTGCAATGGAAGAAAAAGCCAAAGCATCATTTAAATAAATTGGAAGTGTGTAACTTGTACTGGAGCATGAGATAAGAAAGTAAATCCAAAATATGCAGTTCTACCAAATAATTCCTTTTTTTTTTTGCACTGTCCCATTGCTGGGTTAACCCTCTTTTATGAATTTCTATGCAAACTATATTATTTTATGATATATGACAAAAGGGATGTCTATGAAGACACCACCACTTGAGGATGGTTGAAATGGACAGAT